CCTTATTCGCACTCATCCTTTCTCAGAAAAACAACTGTCAAAAAAAAAGTATTTAAGCGATGGGATTGATACTTGGGGAGGCATGTAGAGGGAGACATGTAGAAGCAATCAGCGAAGGATGAGATTGGAAGCCACGTAGTACGGAGCGAGACAATGTTATTAGTTGAAGAATTAGCTTAGAATATGTACAGACTTGACATTCAATATGGAAGATTTCAGTTTCGAAGGTATGCCTAGGTGAAAATGCATTCTTTTTGGCAAAAAGCTGCAATCTCATATGAGATATGTGAATGGAGAAGTGTGTAGTCAGGTGTGTCGTTTCCAATTAACTGAATACCAGTTTTGTTGAGCTGCTGCATTATGTAATATTCAGTGATTTAATTGGGTAGTGCTCCTTTGGGCTGATCAAATCTCAGCTTTGGCAAAGCATGGTTCTGTCAAAAAAGTATCCATATGTCAGCTACTACTGCATAGAAGAATTTGAAATTTTGCATGCAAGTGGTCGGTTTTGGAGTGTGTAAAATGAGCTTTGCAGTGCTTTACAAATTTATTAACATGTGGCGGAATGACGCCAAAAAGACAGACATGCCCAGGCAGATAATTGCGCCAAACGAAACGGTCGACACAGTTTTATAGAGTAATGCTCAGACTGGTGTACCTACACAGAGGCCACAGCCAATGTATTGAAATCTCACCACCCGGGTACAGGATCCACTGTCTTTCGGGGTATGCTGTTGCAACTAAACAAAAACCACCCAGTCCGTTCAGAATGAGGGGTAAATTGCCACCAAAACGCATTTTCCATGGTCCTTAGCTAACACCAAACTGGTTTTAGCAGGTTAGAATACCAGACGCCCTCTGAGGAACCCACTGTAAAGAGCAAAACATCGTTGTATGTTTCTCTAATGAATTGGGGGACCTTGACCATTTCTGGATTGAACACTGAAACCTCGTGGCTTTCTTTTCGAGGTCAGATTTCAACTGTACCTCTCAACTAGTCAAAACAGAGTTTACAGACATCCAGAAGAGACCAACGACGAAGCGTGTGCCGCGTCTAAAGTGAATAAGGTCATTAACAGCGTCAGTATTTGGGGTGGATACCACATTGGTGCCAAAACACCAATGGTAGTCATAGACGAAAACCTGAACCAGCTCAAATAAAGGAAAAATCTGGGAACCACTTGACTATCATCTGATAGGAACAATTTTAGGTTGCACGTTGAGATTGCCGGTTCACACAGAGCACTTTTAATAGCAGATTACTTACAGAACCAAGGGAATGAGCACCTACCTTGGTCATCAAAATCGCCATATTTGAACCACATAGACAATATGTGTGTAGGCCATTACTCGCTGAATCAATGGCCTACATGTTCTACAACAAAACTGGACGAAATTGGAAAGATTTTGACCCCTGCCTGGAATTTTATTCCAGATTGAACTCTTAAAACCTACCCCAAGGAATGCCGTGCCACTTGAGAGGTCAGGCGTAACAGCGACCTTTATTGTGACTAGACACTGACATGAGAGTCCTTTGTGGAGTGTATAACTCTTTTACAGACAATATTTTGGAAAATATGAAGATCCAAATTATCTCTTTTGATGGTTGTCGTATGGCACAGAATAGGCAATGTGTTTTTGTTTGTTTCTCTGGTGAATTTCATTTATGAACTGATGTCACACTGACATCAAAGAGATTATTAAAAGTTATTAAAACACGGATTTTATCCTTATATTAATTCATCAGTCAGCAAAATTGGAAAAAAAAACTGATGAAAAATGATTTGGAAAAAAATGTTCTATGTTTAATGTCAAGTCTGTAGCTACAGAGCGTCAACGAATAATTCATTTAACTGGTCATTATGTGGACTTGGGTTTTCTTTGCGCCACCTTACGTAAATCTGACATGAACCGTGGGATGTTTGGATTGCGTTATCCACTAAGTTAGACGAAAAAGTAATGTCCTATTTCGAGCCCACGCTTGAATTAAGCGTACAAAATTATATCAGTTTAGGACATTCGTCATATGTATATGAACAGGTTCATATTGCAAGAAGAGGGACAAACTTTGATGCATGCATCACAAGAGAAGGGGTTGGGTATGTCTAGATTTTCACATCTTAGAAATGTGTTGCAAATATTTAAGTAGTTTATTAACTATCATCAACATGCAATGGCAGGCCCAGGTAGGACCTGCCCCCCCCCCTCCCCCCCTGCAGATTCAGTGGCTCTCTTTCTCCCTCTCTAAAATATAGTACGCCAACTGACACATAACACCATGCATTTTGTCCTGGTTACTCTTCTGCAAATAACGTTGAATATATTATGAAGTGCGAAATATTTACCCTAAAGGTGTCCCCGTGCCGATACTCCCGTGCACCGTTATTGTCCGACACCCCAGATTCCCTATATTTTGCGACACCAAAAACGAAATTCCAGACATAAATTTTCACTGTTATACGATTTTTTCCAAAAGTGCGCCACCCTCTTGTGGCCCAAAAGTGACGCATTTTATTCTAAATATTGTAGAAAAATTAGGAAACAAATACTAAAATTGGACTGCTTTGTAATCTGGATCTAGATCTTACATGTCAGACTTTCAAATCGGCTTTGTGATTTATGAAAAATATCTCTATACTTCACTTCCTTCTTCAGCAGTGAGTACGGTTCCAGATTACACGCCCTTTTTCTTTATTTATGTATTTTACTCAAAGCTTGTTTTACCCTAATATAAATAACGCACCATAGTCTTTTCTCGGGGAACTGTTCAATTCGTTGAATCATTGAGAAATAAAAAAGCAGTGTTTTTTTAATTAAGCTGTGTTTTATCGCCTTTTGTATTCGTGAAAATGTGACATTTTACATAACACACCAATACCCAAAGCATTAGCGGGGGAGTATTTGTGCGGGGACGTAGAGATACGTGGGAGTATCGGTGCAAGGAAATATAAGTACGGGAAGTATTGGTCCGGGTATGTAAACTGTGACGTAAATTATATAATAGGAACTGGTGATTATCGGCGCGGGGGTTGAATAGGTACGGGGGATGGAATATTTGTGAGGGGACTTATAGCACATAGGTCGAGGGAGTATTGGTGCGGGGGCATATAAGGTACGTTACAGTTTAGTAGCAGTTACAAGCGTGTATCAATAATATGTTAAACATTTGCCATTGAGACAGGAAGGCAGTTTTAGTGGGTGGATTAAAACATGGTCGTGGGCACGATCTGTACACAGTCCCATTAGTCCTTCCGACATATTTTTGTAACATACATTTAACAGTCCTATAACCTTTCCCCAGCCATTTTGCTTTGATATAATCCTCCTCTCTGCTAAAAACCCACTTCCCGGATATGGAAAGAGACGATTCGTCGTGCCCAATATGCTGGCATCTAATAACAGTGCAAATGAGACGGATCCACAGAAATATTATAGTGAGGAATGACGACAGCAGTCTGGAGCTTTGGAACGTTTACTCACCGACTCCTTTTTCACAGAATGTACAAGTATTCATATTCTATTTTTCATTCTCAAATTTCCCATTCTCATATTACAAAACTCTATTCAATATTTCCTAATTTATTAATTTAAGTGAGACTTGTTTATGATTTAAAATATTTCCCGAATTACTCATCTTGGATCTTGTCCAACTCAAGTATGCATGAGTTCTACATGTGTTAAACACGCTCAAATAGATAGAAAAATCAACCAATCAGATCCAACTATATCGGACTCTGCAACGTTCCATCTTCTCTTACTTCGAGAACAAACTCTGCACTTACTGACACTTAAAGAAATCCACCCGCACCCAATAACTTCTTACACATTTGATTCAGTTTTAATTGTTTTGTAATTATCGAAAGAGTATGTCATTTGCTTTACAACAGAAATATTAGCTTATCAGATCCCCCCATATTCTGTTTCCTACTGGGTTATTTCATCGTCTGATCATCCGTCTTCTAAGGAAGTATAAAGTTCAGCAATATAAAAATAATATCCCGGTTATTGGGTTTGACAGCGCGTCCTTCTGCCTGGCAGATAAACAGCCGGTGCTGCATTTCGCTATTGAATATAAGGCCATGAAGCTGTTTATAACTAACGCTACTGGACTCCCTCCAAAACTTCACATAAACTCAGAAGCAAGAAAAACAGTTAAAACGAGTTGTCAATTCTTCGGGACACATACTGCCCCATGATGCATTTTGGCTACTTTATGAGGTTACAAATTGACGGACCCAATATTCCAATAAATGCACAAGACGTCAAAACGGGCGATTCCATATGTAGAGAACTCTGAAGTGTCGGTAGATTTGAGGCCATATTGTGTTTGGTTCTCCGGTAAGCAGTTTGAAATATCACGTGGTGTTGTGAAAAGACATGCTATTTTTAACGTGGAACATGCATTCCGTGTTAATTGGTCCACCTATCATAACATTTTAAAAAATATTATTCAACATGTAATGTCTGAAACCAGATACCATTAGAAAATTTAGGTTTGATTACAGTAGTTATAGTTTTCAAAACAATTTATCTTGAAAAAAGTATTCAGTATATATTTGGAAGGATATTCCTGTTATATGTTTGAAAATATTATTTTTTACAGAAACACTAATGACATACAATGTTAGTTATTTCTTACGAACACTCAATTGTAAGTGCAATAGATTAAAAAAAGGCTTTATTAAAAATAAATTGGAAAATTGATATAAATCTACCATTCAAAAATGAACTAGGTACTTATTTGTAACATTTTTTTTAACAACAAAAGGTCAATAATCGACTTCAGATTCTACTTATAAAACATGTTATGAGTCAGCAACCTGTGATAACAAGTCATTACACACATGTCAATGAGAAATAGGCCTTATATATATTATCTATTGTCACTTGACGTTTAGTGGTCATCAAAATACATTATGTCCTATCAAATGCCGTACTTTTTTTCGAAATCCAGATGTCATTCCGAAATGATTATTAATTTTGGTTTAATACCATTTTAGCAGTCCCAGAAAATCAAGATCGTCTTGCAGCCATGTGTCCTGAAATCGAGGCAAGTTGTGAGCTTTTAAATACGTTTGTGTTTAAGTGCTACCCAGCAAACACAGAACGTTATTATAACGTTACCATAACATATGTCCAAAAACGTTTTGGTAATGTTATAGTTACGTTGTGTTTGCTGGTAATTATCCTCACTTGCACAAGTTTTAGTAAGACCACGGAATTACATGTACTCGTATATGCACAATCGTCAGAAAAATCGGACACACACTGGCATATATATGTACTTTTCACTCTGTTACGCTTGCTGTAAGACCTCCGATATTTCTAATGTTGAATATTACATAAAGGCAGTGTATGCTTGCGTTTCAGTACAAGAACAATTCCGAACCAAGAGGTCGTGCACTCATTATCAACAATAAGAGATTTTCCGTGGACTGGCTTCCAGAACGTGATGATACCGAGGTGGATGTTGCTGCCTTGAGGAAACTATTCGGTTACCTCCATTATGAGACTGACGTTATCAGTAACCTGACTGCAGATGTGAGTTCATTAATGAGATCATTGTGTGTTTGTAATAGAATGAACCGCGTAAAAACCAAATGGCTTTTAGGTTTCAAAGACTAACATACATTTTGGTGATATCTAAATATATTTATCAGTGACACAAAGCTGATACGATTGATACTTGAACCTTTTGACTCAAAACAAGTATTGCCAAACAAACTTTTCGGTCACATTTTATTATGTTGTTCTATTTCACCACAATATATATTTTACTAAAAGCTTTTCACTCGTTTCCATTCATTACATATATTTGTAATTATATTAGAGACGTATGGTATAGTTATACACAGAGGCATGGAGTATAATCTACAAATATACCGTCACTTGTCCGTCCTTGGTAGCTAAGCTGCCTTTCACATTCTCTTTAAAGCCCCCCTTTACACTGGACGGCGTCTTTTCTGCGTCCCGTAGTACGGCCCCGCTTAAAGACTAAAAAAGTACTTGACCTGCAGACAACTGGCTGGCCATTGAGCCTTCATTTTGCAACCAAAGCGATGCTCGTGCTCCCTTTTTACGACCGCAGCGATGTCAGTTTCATGGTCGGACAAAGGACGCAGAACGGACGCCGCCAGCGAAGAGGGGGTTTTAGCGCTAAGTATGTACTAATGCTGCCATTTTGCTTAACGCTCTTGTTGATAACCCGATTCCGTATATACCACGTCTCTAGAGTCATTGCGTGCTATTTTGTTTGAGGTACACTGTATGTTTTTATGTCACATCTTCGTTTATTTTATTGTGTAAAGGAAATGATGGAAGAAATACAGCAAGAAAGTCGTAGAGACGATCACAAGAACTACGATTCTTTCATCTTGTTTCTACTGAGCCATGGTACCGAGGGTGCTGTTTATGGAACGGATGGTTATCCATTGCCCTACAAATACATTAAATACATTTTGAATAACAAGAATTGTCTCGGCCTGTTAGGCAAACCCAAAATGATATTTATTCAGGCTTGCCAGGGAAGTAAGTTATGGAATGTACTACACGTTTGAATACCTCTGATGTAAATAACATGCAGCTTTAGTCGTTTATAACTAAATTATTTAACCTATATATTAATATATTAAACTGTATTAACAGTTTGTCTCCTTAAGTTTATATTCAGTTTATATTCGTTTAATACTATGTGTTTGTTTAAGTCGTTAATACTGATAACGATTCTACCCAGTGTACAAACATGTAATCCTCATAAGAGTAAATAGTGTTTTTAATTTTTTCCATATTCACCCAGAGATATTGGACAGTGGGACACTCCTGGACGGACAAACAGTTCAACAACCACAGCAAGCACCACCTGCAGCAAACCTTGACGATAAGGTGCCCGATGCGCCACTCGAGATTCCAAATCTACCCAGTGAACCGACCATGTCCGATATTCTCGAGGTCCATGCGACTTCACCAGGTACTTCGACCGTGTCGCTTTGTGTGCCATTTTAACATTAGCTTAGGCCTTACAAATGTGTTTCTCGTCAGAAAAAATCAAAATGATACGGTGCCCGTTGTGATACTGGGTTTTTGGCATTTTGCCTCAGGTAGAAGATGGTGTGTTTTTTGTGGTCTTTTGACATATTGAGGAGTACTGTATTGTACACGTATACTTTAAAAATGCGCACTGTATTACAGCAACAGTAAATAATGAAAATTGTCCATGCATTTTCTATATCATAGACTGGGTTCGCACAGATTTAGATCAATCCATCTGGATCGTCCTTACTCCCTTGGGGTTCTCGCTAAATTGCTGTCAGCTTCCGAGAGCCGAGCGCGCACAAAAGTTTTAATTTAAAATTACCCTCTCACAGCTTTTAGTAGGCGGGACAGACATTTAAGCCGTGACAACAATCTAGTTCGACTCCACAGGGGTGGTAGATCGATTTAAATATATGTGGGAATGGTTTCATAGATTCTCCCTTCAAGGAACCGACGAAAAAGTGCTTATTTTCAAATTTGAACAGGAAAACCTTTTTTAGCTCAAGCTCTCAAATTTTGCACACATGTGCAATATCAAATAAAATGTATGTGCCAAATTTAATTGAAACTATTACGTATATTTTGGGGTAGAACTCTTGAAATTTGGAGCATGCCATTACGCTTAAGCGTTCATGATCAAGACGAAAACCGAAAGTGCGTGGTGACGTCAACTAATTGTATCTGGGAAGCTGTCAGACGATTTTCCGATAAAAAGACTGTGTAGCGTATGCAAATGTTGAGACCATAACCAGTATAGGAGATTCAATTAAGATTAGGGCTAGTCAATATAGCCTGGTGTCCAAAGAATATATCAACAACGTGCCGCAGGCATATATGCCAAATACAAGGACCCGAAAGCCATCGCAAAATGTCTTAAGTTTACTTTGTTATTTTGATAAAACATTAAACTCCCGGTTGACATAGAGTTCACTGGTCTCCAACTTCCCATGCCCGACCAAAAAAAAAAAAAAGAAAAATTGAAATTAAAACTAGTGGCGATTCAGTGTTCCAGTGATGCCTGCGACGGTTAGAAACATGGCCTATTTTATTGGCCTTTTGAAGATCATTGCAGGTCGGTTCGCTGTAACACTATCAGCAAATATTGTTCACTAATATTTCCTCGATCTGCGCGATTTATGGAATTTGCTTCTCCGCACTCTCAGTGAGACTAATTACTGTGATATTAACAAAATAAAAATAAACAATACCGTTGCTTCTATGAATAATACCTTAAGGCTTCAATCCTTTCTGTTTCAGGGTACGTATCTTGGCGACGCACGGGAAAGGGAACATGGTTTGTTCAATCCATTGTCGATATATTTCATCGTGAAGCACACAAATATGACGTTTTACAAATGTTAGTGAATGTAAGTACTGAAATAACATGAATTACATTCTTTTGAACTGAAAGTGCGTTAAATTCATCACAAAACCAAAAAAATATAAAACATAGCTGCCAGAAGAAGTCATGTCATAAGAGGTGACTTATGTAAATATAGTCCAACATGCACAGACTTTTTAAGAACCAGCGAAATGCTCTTCTGTATATTTTGACAGTATTAGAACTGTGGATGCAATGCTTTATTTCACCAGGTCAGTGCCGCGCTCTCTCAAATGCAAACTGTAAAGGGCAACAAACAGGCGCTAGAGATAGTTACCAGCTTACGGAAGAAAGTTTTCTTCAACATAACTCCAGGTAAGCAAAAAGAATCACATCTTTCCGAGGTGTATTCGGCCGAAAAAAAGACTTGAGATCAAAAGTAAGCAAAAACAATGAACCTGGAACGTGTTAAGGTACAAACAATGTTGCCAGTCCTACTGAGGATCTTACCCTTTTATCAAATGTCTCAAATCTCCCATCCAGTTGCAGACCCCACCTACAAAATTGTGTCCCAACTCCAATAAATCATTCCCAATTAAAGCTGGAACTTCAAGGTTATGCTCATCATAAGGTTATTTTTCTCATCAGTGTTTTTTCTATGTGTTTCCACCTAAATTGCACCACAACTCCTAGCATTCACGCACCTCACAGTCATTATCAGCACTTACTCCGCGTCTATGGTTTCTCCTGGAATGATCTGCTTTATTATGAGAAATGTTTACCAGTGGTGTGCAAGTTGTTCGATATCTGATTTTCGAATCTATGAGTAAAGCTGTGCAATGGATTATGTTGGGGAGATTTCATGATTTGGCCATGTCCCATATACTAGATGATATCTGTTTCATTAGACCTCAAAATTCCAATAAGTGTCAGGTTGAATTTTCTTGTTTTATGCCAACAAATAAACATTCCCATTAACGCAGTGAAAACCTTTACACTTACCACTTGTTAAACGATTTATCTCATCGAAATAGATTCGATACAAAAGAAACCTTGGATAGGCTTTTGCAGGAATCGGTCAAACGTGTCTGATTTGGTTCAGTTTTGCTGTGGGACATGGTTGATTTGGCGAGTAATGACCTACCCACACATTCTCCACGTGGTTTAAGTAAGCCGATATTGATGACCATTTTCTTGGTTCTATAAGCTATCTGCTATTAAAAGAGCTCTTTGTGAACCGGTGTGAAAGGAATACATGTCCACTAGGAACGGAGGTCCTACGTTGTGAAGGGAATGGATGTCCGCCGTAATGCATGTCTGTAGGACATGTATTCCTAGAAACTCCTAGAAGTCCTGGGAATGCATGTCCTGGGTCTTCCTTTCCTAGGAACGCATGTCCTAGGACATAATTTCCTGGGATTTAAAGTCCAGTGGACACCTATCACTTAGTATTCTAAGTCCTTCAGACAGGTATCGATGTCCGAGTCGGACATATTCTCCCAGCTAGACTAGTAATAGATGTCCTCTGACATTTTCATATGGATGATGTGTTTAAGAAGATTTTAACGTGATGTTTAATAATTTTATTACGCTTCTTTCAATTACTTGTATACATGTACCCCTATACACACTTCATTCGGCTAACTTAACATATTTTAAATAGATGAAAAAATGGCCACAAATTAATATTAGATTTAGGATTTGAATAAAATTTTTCATTTTATTTCCTAATAATATGAAAAATATGAGAATCGTGACAGTCACTGCACCTTATGACAATTAATCATGTCATACTTGGTGCCTTGATGATCACTGGGAATATTTGTAGTTACAGAGACATCATATGCAGTTTGAGATTGTAAATGAAACGTGAATAATTGTATGATAAATAAATTGAATGTGTCTGTTATTGTTTATACATATATTTTTAGGCCTACTGTTACTCTTAACATTCTTCTGAGCGTTATTTTAGCCTTTCGTATCAATCCCGAATTTTCCATTTTAATTCTTTGTATTTTTAGGTGAAAGGAGAAAGCATATGCTCTTGTGCGTCCACTTGTCCAATAAAATTCGGCCACGGCCTTGTATACTCTACCTCGAGTTTATTAAAGAATTCTAAAATAGCTGAACGTTAAAAAATGATGATATTTAAATCAAACATTTAAATAATTTAAAATCTAAAAATCAAAATAATCTAAATTGTATAACAACATGAAGTCCGTTTATTTCGTTGAAATGGAGAAGAAATTGGGATAACATTGGCATAAAGAAATTAACATTGTTGCTGGGGATTCGAAGTCACTTACGTTTCTCTACGCTGTTTGTTTATTATATCCAGCCATCTTATGCCCCTATTTCACACAGATCACGAATCCCACAAATCGCCAGGAATTGGCACATTTCAGGATTAGTGAGGACTCGTGAGATTTTGCAAAATTTCTGGCCTAATTCGACACGCTCTACAATTCAGTTACGATACAGGTGCGATAGTGTTACGAATATTCGTGGGATTCGGCTGGAATCGCATGAATATTGTCAAGGAATCACTATCATTTTTTTTTTTTTTTTTTTTTTTTGGAATCGGGAGTTCATGGCCAAAATTTTGAACAGCTCGAACATTTTGCCACGAATTCCCGATTGATCAAGAATTGCAAGAACTGACTACGATTAGGACCTCTGTTCCTTGGGGACATTCCTTTCACACCGGTCTTACAGATGCAGAATTCCAAACCATGTTTACTGAACTGAAATCTCTGTTGTTGTTCCTGTCCCCACTCTACACCAGTGACTACTACGACAAGTTACTGATTGTTCCACTACATGTATATGCAGCAGGTAAGATGTATAGTATCACACAGATGGTGGTTATTTATATATGAACAAGCAGACATTATGTTAATGGAATTTTAAAAAAGAGAACATGATATTGATGGTAATAATTAAGTGCACAGATAATGTATTCACCTCCGTTTGTTTGTCACCCGCATTAAGTTATGGGCATGGGTGGATTTTGTTGAAAATTTCATGATACGTCAGAGATGGACTTCCTTCAGTTTGTTTTAATTATGGTGGTGATTTGCAATACCATTTGGACCTCCCTTAAATTAAAATATTCTTCCCCACTGTGAAATAGGGTAAACTACCTCGGCCTGTTGTGAAATGTTTGTGCTTTCAAGTTATATTCTTTGCAAAGGTGTGCCCTCTCTGGTCTATTTTACCGCCAATGTTATACAAAAAACAATGACGTACCTAAATGAGCAAAATGTTCGTAGCTTGATAGTTGGATCATACATGAGAATTACCAAACACAAGCCGAAATATTACCGTACCGTTAGCTTACGACCTACTTGGTGGAATGCCCTCATCAGACTAATGTGAGTAGATGTTCACACTCACTGACCCCTAGGTGATACAGTGGCCAGGACCCTTTTATAAATGTCAGGTAACCCCCCCCCCCCCACCCCATCTAGTCATATTAGTCTAATGAAGGCCTTCGACCAGGTTAATATTCCTGCTTGTGTTTGGCAATTCTCATGTATAATGACATGACTTTATATAATATTGAAAAATATTGATTGAAAATTCATTGAAAATAAGAAAATGAGTAACAATTAAGAACTTCCATGTGTATGTATTTGCATGTGTGCCTACATGTATAAATGCATGTGTGTGTGTGTCTGCTATAATCTCTAGATACAGCTGCAGACATAGGTTACATCCAACACTTAAGGCAATAGCGATGTACACAGGTGATGGGTATCTGTTCAGACACATTCATAATTGCAAAATAGTAAAAATAATAAGATAACAAAACAAAAAGAAACATTAATATGTTACAATCTCCAATACACAAATTCAAACTGTGCTGTGCTGATTCCAGCTAGTTTAGGAATATTTCACATTTTATTTTCACCAATTAACATAATATACCCCTGTAGCAATTTAATTTATGGTTCTTGAATCAAGGGGTTTTAAGTTTCGGAACTAATGACCACTTCTCCAATGAAAATGCACCTTTGAACCCAAAGTCTAAAATCTGAAAAGAGACCCCAATTATATATCCCACCCATTAAACCAAAGTTAAGGTGTGTTTACTTTCTGAAAATCGGCACAAACAAATATATTTTGCAGAAAATTAGATTTTGTGCAAAAATGTGGCCCATTTGACTTTGAAATAACGGTCAAAAGTCAAACTCAATGTCACAAAAAGATTGCGAGTATATGCAAAGTTGAGATTATATGTGAACTAAATCTAAGGGATGGGGATACACTCCCTTACAGTGTATTGTCACTTGGTCTTTAGTGCCCCATCAAGATACTTTATGTCCTATCAAATGCCGTACTTTTTTTCGACATCCAGGTATCATTCCGAAATGATTATTAATTTTGGTTTTATACCATTTAAGCCTTTCCAGAAAATCAAGATCGTCGTGCAGCCATGTGTCCTGAAATCGAGGTAAGTGGTGAGCTTTTAAATACGTTTGTGTTTAAGTGCTACCTAGCAAACACAGGACGTTATTATAACTTTACCATAACATATGTCCAAAAACGTTTTGGTAATGTTATAGTAACGTTGTGTTTTCTGGGCATTATCCTCAATTGCATAAGGTGTATTAAGACCGTGGAATTACATGTACTCGTATATATACAATCGTCAGAAAATTCGGACACACACAGGCATAAATGCGCACTCTTCACTGTTACACTTGCTATACAACCTCCGATATTTCTAATGATGAATATCACATAAAGACGGTTTATGTGTGCGTTTCAGTACAAGAACAATTCCGAACCAAGAGGTCGTGCACTCATCATCAACAATAAGAGATTTTCCGTGGACTGGCTTCCAGAACGTGATGGTACCGAGGTGGATGTTGCTGCCTTGAGGAAACTATTCGGTTACCTCCATTATGAGACTGACGTTATCAGTAACCTGACTGCAGATGTGAGTTCATTAATGAGATCATTGTGTGTTTGTAATAGAATGAACATCGTAAAAACCAAATGGCTTTTAGGTTTCAGAGACTAACATACATTTTGGTGATGTCTAAATATATTTATCAGTGACACAAAGATGATACAATTGATACTTGAACCTTTTGGTTCAAAACAAGTATTGTCAAACAAACTTTTCGGTCACATTTTATTATGTTGTTCTTTTTCACCGCAATATATATTTTATTAAAAGCTTTTCACTCGTTTCCATTCATTGCATATATTTGTAATTATATGAGAGACGTATGCTATAGTTATACACAGAGACATGGTGTATAATCTACAAATATACCGTCACCTGTCCGTCCATGGTAGCTACTGCCTTTCACATTCTCTTTTAAGCCCCCTTTACACTGGACGGCGTCCTTTCTGCGTCCCGTAGAACGCCCCTGCTTAAAGACCAAAAAGTACTTTACGTGCCAACAACTGGACGGTCATTGAGCCTTCATTTTGCAACCAAAGCAATGCTTGTGCTCCCTTTTTACGACCACAGCGATATCAGTTTCATGGTCGGACAAAGGACGCAGAACGAACGCCGGCAGCGAAGAGGGGGTTTTAGCGCTAAGTATGAACTAATGCTGCCATTTTGCTTCACACTCTTGTTGATAACCCGATTCTGTATATACCACGTCTGTAAAGCCTCTCTTCTGGTCCTCAAATCAAGTTCGGTCCCTTGGTTCTAAACTGTTTACCAGAGGCTCTGTTCTGGTCCTACACCTGTTAATGTCCATCATGACGTGTTCTAACGTGTTCCCCAAACGTGTCCTTGGCTGACTCTATTATGGTCTCCAATATTTGAGGTTTAAAACTTTGAGAGGCTACCAAAAAACGTACGTAAACTGAATGTTGGAAAGAAATGCATTTCAATTATTTAAATTGTATTATATTTGCTATAATATATTCTCAGATTTTTTAAAGAACACAAAAGTTTTGCTGCGTGACTACCTTTAGGATGCCTAATACTACTAAAAAGTTTATGGCGTTCTCTGCTTCTTGTTTTCAAGACAGTTACATTCGTGGGTGATTGTGTGCATGTGTGTGTGTGTGGAGTGGGGGTGTACTCACTCACTCACTCGTTCTTTATTCCGTTTTAAGTTAGTATAAGCTCTTATTTTCATATGGACGCGTTTATTCCCGTGAATTTCCTAAATGTCCACTGGACTGTCAAGAACTATAGTGATTCAGAGCTTNAAAAGGCATCAAAACTCTCCAGAACGAAAGATACGTATGTTAAGCCCCTCTTCTGGTCCTCAAATCAAGTTCGGTCCCTTGGTTCTAAACTGTTTACAAGAAGCTCTGTACTGGTCCTACACCTGTAAATGTCCATCATGACGAGTTCAAACGTGTTCCCCAAACGTGTCCTTGGCTGACTCTATTATGTTCTCCAATATTTGAGGTTTAAAACTTTGAGAGGCTACCAAAAAACGTACGTAAACTGAATGTTAGAAAGAAATGCATTTTAATTATTTAAAATTGTATTATATTTGCTATAATATATTCTCATATTTTTTAAAGAACACAAAAGTTTTGCTGCGTGACTACCTTTAGGAAGCTTAATACTACTACAATATTTAGCTCTTATTTTCATATGGACGCGTTTATTCCCGTGAATTTCCTAAATGTCCACTCGACTGTCAAGAACTATAGTGATTGAGAGCTTAAATCAGAACTTAGTCCCTTATATAGACACAGTATAATGGATTTTTACTGCATACGTTTTATAAATCTATTAATACTGCAATTTATGTAAAGAGCTCCCTATGAAGGATAGTCTAGCTACTTTATTCTTTTACGCATTTTGTTTTCAGAATTTTTTTTCAATTTTCAGGATTTAGGGTTTAGGTATAGTCACTATAAAACTGCCAAAATGTAGGCGATTTGTGCAAGAAGTAGAAATGGATTATATTATTTTCGAATCAGCGGATCTAAAATAAACAAAGTTTATTAATCAACGCGCAATATATTCGTAATTAAAGCCTATTTGCCTGTTTGACTGCATTTAAACTAAGACGCAACTGATCATAATGTGTGTTTGATTGACGGGGCTGGTTTAGAGATGTGCTGCATACCTTGTTGGTATTTATACCTAGGCCTTCACAAGCTATATATCCCATATCATTAAGATAATGTTCAAGTGATGTTTTGCTACAGGATGACAACTTAGCATCCCAATTGTATTGCTTTAGGAGCGTAGGGGAGACCGGGGCTAGTTGGACCCCAGGGTAAGTTGGCCCCCCATCAATTTATGACAAAGTAACTATTTGATAAAAGAATTGATCACATCATTTTGTAAAGTGACCGTATCCAATAGTGCTAAGAAAGCGTCGTCAGTGAGTCCAAATGAAATAATTTAGCATCTTAAAGTAACTTTATTAAAGAGACTTGATGGTGGGCCAACTTACCCCGGGGTCTAACTAGCCCCGGTCTCCCCTACAGTGAAGGGAATATCATGAAAACCCAGTGATCTGACCAAAGACATTGTGGCGATTCGATCGACTAATGGTAGCGGACAGATCCAGTATAACTACGTAGTATAAGTATGCATACCAATGCAAGTTACTGTTACACAACGCCGTACTCCCTTGGGTAAAATTAAAGGCTAACATTCCCGTTTCAATTTACCACTTCAAGGGAAAGATTCAGAACAGCGCCCTGTAAAGATCTTACTAACTGACCCCTGGAAACCACAAAATTTTCTTTCATGCCAAAATCTGTGAATTTAAATACTCGATCCCCACCATTAAAAGTGCCACCGACCCTCACACTGACTGCTTCTCTTGTTATAGAGTACAATTCAATTTAATTTAAAAGAGACAAACCTAGCTGTTATTACAGAATCGGGATTCTTTAACATAGATTTTGTCTCGACTCCAGGGACGTCTCAATTTCTTTTTCATTCGAAGGTATGCCTAGGTGAAAATGCATTCTTTTTTTCACAAACTCCGATCTCATATAAGATATGTGAATGGAGAAGTGTGTAGTCAGGTGTGTCGCTACCAATTAACTGAATAACAGGTTTGTTGCGCTGCTGCATTATGCAATATGCAGTGATTTAATTGGGGAGTGCTCCTTTGGGCTGGCCAAAGCTTGGGTTTGGCAAAGCATGGTTCTTTCAAAAAAAGTATCCATATGTCGGCAACTACTGCATAGAATTATTTTAAATTTTGCATGCAAGTGGTCGGGTTTGCTGTGTGTAAAATGAGCTATGCAGTGCTTTACAAATTTGTAAATCTGTGGGAGAATGGCGCGAAAAAGACAGGCATTGCCAGACAGTTAATTGTGCCAAACGAAACGGTCCGCAGAGTTTTATAAAGTAATGCCCAGACTGATGTACCTACACAGAGGCCACGCCCAATGTATTGAAATCTTACCACCAGGGCACAGGACCCACTGTCTTTCGGGATATGCTGTTGCAACTAAACAAAAGCCATCTAGTCCGTTCAGAATGAGGGGTAAATTGCCACCAAAATGCACTTTTCAAGGCCCTTAGCGAATACCAAACTGGTTTTAGCAGGTTAGAATACCAGACGACCTCCAAGGAACCCACTGTAAACAGCAAAACATCGTTGTATGTTTCTCTAATGAATTGGGGACCTTGTCTGTTTCTGGGTTGAACACTGAAATCTCGTGGCTTTTTGTATTGATGTCAGATTTCACCTGTACCGCTCAACAGTCAAAACAGACTTTACAGACATCCAGAAGAGGCCAACGACGAAGCGTGTGCCGCATCTAAAGTGACTTACGTCATTAACAGCGTTAGAATTTGGAGTGGAAATCACATTGGTGCCAAAACAGGAATCCGTTGCCACTTGAGAGCGCTGGTAGCAGCCAGAAGAGGTCATGCGTAACAGCGGCCGTTACTGTGACTTGACACTGACATGAGGGTCCTTTGTGGAGCGTGTAACTCCTTTACAGACAATAATTTGGAAAATATGGAGGTCCAAAATATCTCTTTTAATGGTTGTCGTATGACATAGAATAGACAATGTGTTTTTGTTTGCTTCTCTGTCGAATTCCATCACAATGACATCAAAGAGGTAATTTAAAGTTGTTAAAACACGATTTTTATCCTTATTTTAATTTATCAGTCAGCTAAATAGGAAAAAACTGATGAAAAATGTTTTGGAAAAAAATATTCCATATTAAATGTCAAGTCTGTATAAATATATATATATATATATATATATATATATATATATATATATATATATATATATATATATATATATATATAAAAAAATCTTATTCGGTTGAATTGTCTTTATCGCAGCATCTATATTTAAGTTCATTAAAAACCACAAATCAAACAAATTGTGTGTACGCGCTGTAATGTACATGTTCTTTGGATGGTTATTTTAAGTAATCCGATTTGATAATTTCGAATCCTATACATTATAGTAGATTTGCGTACATGGAAAGCATCAAAACAGACTAAAGGTATTTTCGCTTCGATCATTATACCGTTTTATTTGCATCTCATCTGTAGCAACATTTGTTGCCAGATTAACGAAGCACCGCGCAATAATGTAAGAGAACCACGAAAACAGAGCACCCGCACCAGACACGGGCATTTAATTTTGGTTGGTCCTTACGGGCTTGCATTCGACCGGAGGCAGAGTTATGAATCAATCTACAGTATATTATTTTCCGTTTATATAAAAGTTACCTAAGTCCCGCATAACGCTATCTCAAAAATTGGTCACTTTATGACCCTTTAAAACACCGCTACAGATGTAGACACTCCAACCTAATTAATTAAGTTCGATGTGAGAAAACTTTCAACAAAAAGTGAAAATGTGAGTCACATATATTTAGATTAATATCGGAATAAATATATGACACGTTCCATTGCTTTCACTGGTTTATGTCATTGTACCCTCTAACAGGGAAAGCATTCAGCACTTATTAAAAGTAATATGAAACATTAATAAAAACGTTATGCAAAACGTGAGCGGTTGGGATAAGTTCATTTATGCTCTCATCTTTCATATGAAAAAAAAATGAATATTTATTGCAAGAGTTCAGGGTGGGAGGGGGATCATAAGGGCATAGCAACTATTATGTTACGATTTGAAATAAAACAAGGCAGCAAAGCTGTCAAATGTACAGACAAAAACCAGAAAATAAAAATGCAGGAAATAGGATACTGTCAATTCTGATGCACTAATGTATTATGCTTACTGTAACTGCATAGCCAACATCAAATTCTAATTCTGCATAACAGTGGATTAGGATGAAAGTAAAATGTGTAACAAGCATTAGACTGAGTTCCCATATCTAGATCAATCTAACAGGATTAATCCAACTCCAAGGGGTTTCTCACTAAATTGCTTTCAGCTTAAGCGGCTTAGGATTCTGGCATGCCAGTATTAGAAGGCGTGACAGACAGCTAAGCCACTAAGCAATTTGATTGCAATTAAGCGAGAATTCCCTTGGAGATAGATCGATCCACAGTTAGCGTGATAGGGTCTGGAAATAGTCCCTAAGGCTTCAGACTTTTAAGAGTTAAACTTTGGAAATGATATATATATATATATATATA